GCAGGATGGGAAGTAGGGTTTACTGATGCAGGATGGGAAGTGGGGGTGTGCTGATGATGTAGGACAGGAAGGAGAAGAGTTAACTAGCTGTGGAAGAATCCCCAGCAGGAAGAGGTTCAGGCACCTGGGGACAGACGTTTTGCTTGGATGGTCATACAGCCAAGTCCCCAGGCTCTTGGAGGTTCAGTTCACAGACATCACAGTGAGGATAAACAAACGTGACTAGTACAGACAACGCAAACTCCTCAGGGAACTTCGGCTGCAGGCTGGAGGGGGGAAATGGACTAATTTCATGGGGAAGAGGTTTTCTTTTTCCTTTTCCTTTTTTTTTCATTCTGATCCAGAAAAAAAAGGGATGATCATTAATCAAACTTGAAATCTTGACATATCAAATATATTTGGCCTTCCAGCAAATCCAAGAAAAATTTTTCATAGCTAGCTGAAAACTAAAGCATGAAAAAGGGAGCTCAGATCCACAGGAGGGTGTTTGAGAAAGCATAGTTTCGCTGGGGTGTAGGGTGGTGGAATGTGGCATTAGTATACACTGAATAAGTGCAAAATATGGTCAACGGTCCTTTAATTTTCTCCAAGTTTTTGTAGAGCTACTTAGTGAAGGTTTATGAAAGTGAAAAGTTCTCTGTTCCCTTTGTCTTTCAATTTTACACAAGCAGCAGGACATTTTGCACTCAGTTAAGGGGCACCTCGGCATGCAGGGCCAGGCTTGTGGCCCTGGGTGCCTCGGCCGCCGCCACCTGCATTACCTGGCGCTAAGGAGAGAAGGCCCCCTTCCCTCCCTGCTGAGGAAGGGAATGAGGTAGTGACTGCACCTCAGCTATCATTCTGTCTGAGATTTAAGATGATGGAGTAGTGGCATCAATCGGTTAGAGAATCGTCTCCAATCATATCCCCTCAGCTGAAAACCCTTCAGTGGCTTTTCCTTGCCTTTCAGATAAAATTCAGAATTCTCACCGTAAATCTCAAGGTCTTTCTCCACCTGGCCCTACTGTCACTGAGGCTGAAGCGTGTGCCAGTCTCTCTCTGGCCTTCTTTTTAGCTCTGTCCTCTTTCAGGGCCAGGCACGTGCTGTTCTACCCTCTGCTGGACAGGCTCAGCCTCCCCTTCCTCCTGCTCTTGCTCTGAGTCCCCATTTAGGTCTCCCTCCCAAGGAAGCTCCCCTTGATCACTCACTCTGTACAGGGACCCATGACTATAAACGCGGATTGTCAGGGAGCTCTTCCTTCCTGGTGTGTATCACTGTGTGAGAACACGTTTACCTGTGGGGCTCTCCACTTACTGTCTGTCTACACCCTGGAGTGGAAGCTCCATGAAGCAGGAGGCTTGGCGATTAGTTTAATGCTGCTGTATACCTGGCATATGGTCCCAGCTCAGTAAATATTTGTTGAATGAATGAATAGGGAATTTTGGCTCCAACTTACTGACTCTTGTTCTAGCAAACTTACTTACAAAAGTGACCACTAATGAAAGTCTATGTAGCTTTTACCTAGAGGGAAATATTTTTAATATTTTGGATGTTTACAAATTTTTTTATACTGCTTTGGAGGTAGGAACCCACTATTAAACTATTCCACACACTTGCAGTTATTAACTAATCAGGGAAGGAAAAATGAAAGAGTTACAGGAAACACTTGAAATTTATGATCCGTAAAATTGAGAGTTAAAGTGACTTAAATGTATAAATGATAAGGCATACTGACGGCACACCGATATTTACTTTTGGCCTAACAAAGCAAAGTCCATTCCTGTCTTACAAATTGTAGATTTTGTTGAATTTTTATGAATTTGGTAGAGTTGGAGCTGCAAGCAATGCCAAGTTGGTGGGGAGAAAAGGTTCAGTTTTACAAAATCTTCATTTGTCTCTGGTCATGTGATCCTTTAAAGCACGGGCAGGGAGAAGGATAAGCCTGAGCGTCTTAATTCTAAAGTAAAACTTTAGCATTCTGTGTCTGTAAGATTTAAAAAACCCACACTATACATGCACGTACATCCACTCCGAAAAAAACCTGTGAACATTGGGAAAGGTTCTGTGGTCTGTTCTAAGGCAGACGATATGCTTTCAGTTTATTTGCAGGAAGAGGTTTTCAGAAGAGGGGTCATTTCCCTTCTTTAAAGAAAAAGCCATTACTCTCCTGCCTTCATGGTGTGTGCACGGTATGAAGGAGCTTTCTATTTTTCTGAGAATGGGCTCACGCCTGGTGAGACCTGTTCGTCTGCTGTGGGCCTGACCTGCACAGGGCCCTGGCCCTGGTGTTGGAACCCTGGTTTTACTCCAGATACCTTCAGCACTGGTGGCGTCAGCTGAACTCACCAGATCTACCTACCCAGTACATGGATTAAAAAAATATGTTATTAATGATAAATTGAGGAGTACATTCTACGTATTTTGAGAATTCTTTTGCAGAAAAGCAGTAGGATATAAAAAATGCATTAAACATTAGCATCATTATTCATACCTGAGTACTAATGATCCAGTGAATGATTTATGTGAATCCTGCTATTCCTTTGTTTATCCATTTGAAGAACTGCTCATCAATTCCCAATCCCAAAGGCCCACTTGGAAGGGTAAAAGGCAAAAGCAGAACTCAGGGAGGAGTCCTAGATGGACTCAGGGAAATTTAACACAGCCCTCAAGACACACATTCATTTATTCATTCATTCATCAGTGGATTTTGAGCAGCCATGTGCCAAGCACTGTTACACAGACACTTGGGATGTACTAAAGTGATCAAAGACCCTGGCTTTGTAGAATTTACATTTGAGGGGCAGTGAAAGCTAGACAATAAATAACACACACATACCTCCATACACAAAGTAAATTAAATTATGTAATATATTTGAAGCAAAGGAGAAAGAAAAAGTAGATCAGAACAAGGAGAACCAAGTGTGCCGGGTTGGGGTTGGGGTGAGAAGAAGGTGGACGGAGATACTAAATGGACTGCTCTCCAAGACAGCACATTGCTGTGGTGCTGATTACTCTGGTCTTCGGGGCTTGCTTCTGTAGGGGGAAGCTGCTAAGGCCTGGTGTGGAGGTCTGGGCACTGGGATGCTGCAGGGTGCAATCTAGCTCGCATGCTTCCCAGCGAAGTGCCTGCAAGAACGTTAGGTACTTGCAGTCTCTAGAGTTGGACAGCCTGGGTCTGAACTGGGCTCCACCACTCACCAGCCTCATACGCACTCACTATTGCCATCATCTCCTCAAGTAACATTAGCTTATGTGGTTGGTGAATCTGGTGATGGCATGTTCCAGGACACAGTCCAACAAATTTCTAATGATGTAAAATGGCAGCATATATGTTAACCAATCATAATGTAATAGGGAAGAACAGATCTGACTCTATATTAGATCTGTTTCCTTTACTTTAACCTTTGTATCTATTGCTTGTCAATCAATAAAGGGCTGTTGCCTATAAGATTAGATTATACATAATGGCCCATTTCTGGGAATCCTGCCTCCCAGGTAATGAGCATTAAGCTAACATACCTTTGTTTAGCTCACAGGAAACATACTGACCAGGCCCACCTGTGAATGACTGCAGGCAGGCAGAAATGAACACATCCTCTATGGAGGCTGACCGGAACCGCGAAATGTTTGACTTTACTCCCTCCCCTTTTTAGTATAAAAGAAGCCTGAATTCTAACTCAGACAAGATGGTTCTCTGGGACAATAGCCCACTATCTTCTTGGTTTGCTGGATTTCTGAACAAAGTCTGCTATTCCTTTCCCCAACACCTTGTCTCTTGATTTATTGACCTGCTGCATGGTGAGCAGTATGAGCTTGGACTCAGCAACAGTAATGATGAGTATAAAATATGGTCTTCCTTGTCCTCCCACATCTCTTCACAGCTGCATGGGAGCCACTACTCCGCTGATCCCTTAAAGCCACTAGATGATAACAAGGGTGTGTGAGACATTGAACTTTCCAGAGTGGCCCTGCACAGGGAGTGAGGAGACCTACCTCAGCTCTCAGCTCTGCCACTGGCTTTCTATGTGCCTTTAGCAAGTCCCCTCACTTCTCAGGACCTCAGCTTCCTTATTGCAGGAATGATGGGGAGGGGACATTCATTCTGGTTTCCAACATTTCATGATTTTGTGGTATTTTTTCTTGCTGTCAGTTGTGCATAAAACCGAGATAAAAAATGATTGGGAAAAAGGAGATTTTAGTGCTTTAAGTTTTCCACTAAAAAAACTGACCTCTGTGAAAGTTGGAAAAATATTAACTGATCTGTCCTACAATGAAGCAGGCAAATGAAGGGGAATTTTGCTCTAATAAACCAGCACTGATATTGCTTCAGTGGGGATGACCCTGGGGAAGTACAGGCACATTTGAATTCTGTTAAGATATTCCAGTCTCTTCACTTACCTGTCCACACTCATTACAGTCATGATGGCACTGCAGGCAAACTGATTGCAGGTATCCAGGGATGTGATGATGGTGCAGAGAGGCCCCCCAAAAACCCATTCTCCTCCTCGGGCCCACTGGTGAATCAGAAACGGCATTCCAATGATGTGGACCAGGTCAGCCACAGCCAGGTTGCAGATATAAATATCAGGGATCGTTTTTCTCCTGGACCTGAAGAAATGGAGGGATGCCTGAGGACTGACATGGAAAACACACACCATCTTCAATTTATGCCATCTGTACCAGATTTTCAATGGCCAAATTAATTTTAGAAGTTAAAAGGGAAACTTCACAAACGCACATATGAATGCCTTGTCTTGTGTGTATTTAAACATTCTGAATTATCTTAAGCAAATGTTTCCAAAACCTGATTTCAGGCAGGAAAATACTATGGCAGGAGAGGACTCATTTAGGGAGTATAGAATGTCCCTAAACTACGGGAAAGAATAAGACGTTCTTACCTTATTATTGTGAATACAATGAGGATGTTGCCAACCAGCCCCGCTGAACAGATAATCCCAATCATGGAAGGGAGGATGGCTGTATCCACGACGCTGAGCATTTGATAAGCAAACTCTTGATTCCAGGATTTGTTCAAAAGTTCAGCAGAGGTGTTACAACAGGATGAATGAAGTGAATTCATTGTTTACAAACTTCCAGTAGTTAAAGCTGTGAAGGAACAGGAAGTGAATTTTTGAGGCAGTTCCCTCAATATAGATTTTCTTTAACTTAATTACAAAATATTTACTGGGGCTTTCTTTGCACCAAGAATCCATGCAACAAAAGATTCCAGGGTGATTGCTCCCTGTCTATAATGGTGTGACAAATCACCAGAGGAGATATGTAAACAGCAAATTATTGAACAGCATGCTATGATAGTGCGCGCATGTTTTCTGCCTTATTGTAGTGCATACTTCAAGCACAGCTAATATTTACTCAGCGCACGCTGGTACTGGTTGTTTACAGCTGGCATCTGTTTCCATTAGCCTGCGTGTCTAGTCGGATTGGTTAGTACTCCCCCAATACTTAGGTTGTTAAATGTATTTTCTCTGTCTGCTATGAAGTGCATGTGGGGCACCAAGTCGGACTGTTTGGGAATGGAATGGGCTAAGACTTTCTAAGATGATTTCTGGACTATCTTGAAGGATGAGTTAGATCAGGAAAAGACAGTGTGGGAAGGCTAAAGCAAGTTAGGGTACCGCGTGCAAAGAAGAATTATAGCACAGGAAAAAATGCCCACCAAGCAACCTAAAAATAAACAACTAAACAAACAAGATCAATAGAACTGGAAAATTATTTGCTTGACCAACCATCTTGATAAAAGATACTATCTAATTCTTGTTTCTGTTAATGGTAAACTGGGCAACTCAGATTAAGCCTCCCACTGAAGACAATAAAATATGCTGGGTAAAATGTATATATATGTAAGTGTGAATGTGTGGATGTGTGTGTACAGCAATTTAAAAAATATTCATGAACTGAAAAGTTAGTGGGCCTTCCCTGGCCCGTTTTTGGATAAGATCCTGTAACTGCAGGATTAAACAGAATATTGAAGCATCAAGACTATCTTTATCCAGAAGGCACTTATTCATGCCACAACCATCTGAGCCCTGGTTCCATGTCTGTTTCATGTCCACAGGGAAGTCAAGGTGGAGAATTTTTCAGAAGAATTCTTCCTCTGAGCTAGAGCCCCAAGGATGACATCCTTAGGTATGAATGAACCTGATTTACACTTTCCTCTCCTACTTCCACAAACATTGGGAACTGCTGAGAGATCTTCCTTGGTGCCTGTGGAATGATGAAAGAGAGAGAGAAAAGAAAAGCAGACCTTTTCTGGGAAGGTCCAGAAGAATCCTTTCTCAAATTTGTACCCTAAGTAGGCTGGCCAGGGACTCTTAGGACTTGAACTTAATCTGAGGTGGTCCAGGACTGCAAAGTCCCCTAGGTACCAGGAAGATGCAAGTGCAAACCCTTTTGGAAGGGAAAAACAGCCATCCTAAGGCCTCAGAGAATCTTCAAAATATTTTTTGAGGGGAATGGCCAGCAAGCAGTCAAAATACAAGCATTGCTTATATACTGATTGAAATGGATTAAAGACTTAAATGTAAGACCACACATTGTACAACTATGAGAATAAAACAGGGGGAATTTCCTTGATACTTGTCTTGTCAATGATTTTTTGGGATATGACATAAAAAGTGAAAGGAGCAAATGTAAAAATAATCAAACGGAACTACATTAAACTAACAAGCTTCGGCGCAAGAAAGACACAATCCGCAAAATGAAAAGGCAACCTATGGAATGGGAGAACACATTTTTAAACCATCCATCTGATAAGCAATTTATGTCCAGAATATATAAGGAAGTTACACAACTTAGTAGCAAAATACAAACAGTCCAATTAAAAAATGGGTGAAGGACTTGAACAGACATTTTTCCAAAGAAGACATACAAATAGCCAGCAGGTGTGTGAAAAGATGCTCAACTTCACTCATCATCAAGGAAACGCGAATCAGACCACAGTGAGACATCTTCTCACCCCTGTATAGATTTTGAAAAAGCAGAAAATAACAAGTCCTGTCAAAGATGTGGCGAAAAGGGAATCATTCTGCACTGTTAGTAGGAATGTAAATCAGTGTAGCCACTATGGAAAACAGAACGGTGTTTCCTCAAAAAATTAAAAATATTTAACTACCATGTGATGCAGCAGCCCCAATCCTGGGTATACACCTGAAGGAAATGAAATCAGTATGTTGAGATACATGTACTCCCATGTTTATTGTAGTATTATTTACAATTGCCTGGACATGGAAATAACCTAAATGTCCATTGATGGATTAATGGATAAAGAAAATGTGATACTCACACTCACACACTTGCACACATACGCAGGAATAATATTGAGCCATAAAAGAGAAGGAAATCTTGCCTTTTGTGACAACACGGATGGACCTGGAGGGCATTACGCTAAGTGAAGTAAGTCAGAGAAAGACAAATACTGTTCTGTTCTCACTTATATGTGGAATCTAAAAATTCTGAGCTTGTAGAAATAGAGAGTAAAGTGGTGATTACCAGAGGCTTGGAAGTGGGGGCAGAAATGGGGTGATGGTCAAAGCGTATAAGCTTCTATCCATTAGATGAATATGTTTTGGGGACCTAATGTATATCATGGTGACTATAATTAACAGTATTGTGTTATATATTTGAAAGTTGTAAAGAGAGTAGGTCTTAAATACTATCACCATAAAAAGGTAATTACGTGAGTGGGCGGAGGTGTAAACTAACCTTATTGTGGTAATCATTTTGCAATATATACAAGTATCAGATCATCACATTGTACCCCTTAAATATGTTGTATGTCAATAATGCTGCAATAAAGTTGGAAAAAATGTGGTATATGAACACCATGGAATATTAGTCAGTATTAGAAAGTGAAAGAAATCCTGTCATATGCTACAATGTGGATGAAACTCTAAGACATAGAATAAGTGAATAAGCCAGTCACAGAAGGACAAATACTGCACGATTACACATGTATTAAGTGTCCAGTGTCGTCAAACTCATTGAGAGTTGAATGGTGGTTGCCAGGGGCATGGGAAAGAAAAAAATGAGGAGCTGCTGTTCTGGGAATAAAATTTTAGTCATGAAAGATAAAAAAAGTTTTAGAGATCTGCTGCACAACATTGTCCTTACTCAACATTGAACATTGTACTGTTTATCCAAAAATTTGTTAAGAGGGTCAATGTCATGTTATGTGTGTGTGTGTGTGTGTGTGGTTTATCAGAATAAAAAAATGTATGTGAGAGGAATAAATGAATGTTTGAGAAATGGAGCAGAGTGAATGTTTTATGTTCTTGATGGAATATTCCAGTCAGTAGCCTGTTGGTAAAATATATTCACACAAAATAAAAAGTAACATCAAAATTGGAAGAAAAAAAGGATATATCATTACAATAACAAAAAGGCAAGCCTCACAGGAGACTTGTAAGTTACATAACCAAAAGAAGGCTCTTGTTCAGAATATATAAAATATACATGCAAATCAATGAGAAAATGGTAGAAAATTCAACAGAAAAATGGCCAAAGATTTCAATAAGCCTTTACATGGTTGATAAACATTTCATAAGGTATTCAATACTCATTGGTGATAAGGCAAATGCAGACTAAAACCACAACAGGATACCTATACATACCTATCAGATTGGTTAAAAATAAGTCAAGTCTGAGAGTTTCAAGTGTTAGTGAGGATATGGAGTCACAGAAACTCCGACCACTGTTGGGAGTATAAATTAATATAGCACAGTAGAACACAGGGAGACATTTATTAAAGATGACTAATTACATATTATCCAAGAGCAGAAACTTCCCCCTCAGTGAGATGTCACTAGAGATACACATGTTTATATGTTTCATGATAAGTGCCCCAGAGTGTTCACAGAAATATTTATTTTAAATGTCTTAAACTGAAAATAATCAAAATGCTTATTAACGATGGGATGGATAAATAGACTGTGATACACTGACACAAGGAAATACTGTACCACACTAGATGGGAGCAGACTATAAAGACACTCAAGAACGTGGATGCCTCTAATCTCTTAGGGTTGGGCAAAAAGCAAAAATTCATACAGTATGATTACATTTAGATAGAATTTTAAAACACAGGCAAAACTAATCTATATTATTAGGGATGCATATAATAATGCTAAAGATATAAAGAAAAGCAAAGAATTAGTAACTGGGTAAGTCAGTTTGATGGTCATCTCTAAACAGAGGGTTTTATGTATGGCTCTGCAGGTTATATTAATAGAAAAAAATAGTTTTTAAAAAGTAGTCTAACATCTGACCATGTGGTTTCAAGGCAATAATCCAAAGTCCTGTTCTTTCTTCTTTATTAATACTTATCTTCCTCTTAATTTTCCCACTCTGCCTCTGTTTACTTTACTTTTCTATTCAGTTATTTCAAACTTTAAGAATCAGCTAACATAAATATTAACTTTGTGTGTTTTTGTTATGTTGAAATTTGATGCCAAAATATATGCAAAAACTTAGCAAAAGAGCTTTTTTCAGGCAAAACAGCTCTATACGACTGACTGAACTCACTGAAGAATTTCATACAGAAAAACATTCATAGTCAGTGACCTCGTATTATTTTAAAACAACAGAACTGGTTATTTGAAAAAGTCAAGATAACTAATTTATTTTAATTTTCATTCTGTTACTTACATCATGAAAAGCCAATATTTGAGATTGATTTTGGGGGAATACACAAAAATCTAGTATTCAAGATAAGAGGTGAAAATTTAACTTTTATGACAACTATTTTTTAGCATTTTCACAAGTTTAAAAAATATGTATTATATATTCATATTAATAGATTTGGTGAACATATGCACTTTTAGAAATGATGATTTAAGTTTAAGACATAGGCAAACATCTTCCCATGAATTATGTATAGCAATATCCATTATCTCCCAAATCATTTATGTATTTCAACATCTCTTCTCCAAATATAATCTACAGGAGCATGACTCCCCAAGTTTTAGCCAACATTCATGCTAATAAGTATGTTTCTAAGACTAACAGTCTCACAGCTAAAATTTGGGAGTATAATCTGTATGTATGTAACATATTAATGTTTTT